CAGTTGACAGAAATGATAATATAATGCAGATAATGTTGGGTACTGGGTCGTTTAACAAAAGTTCTCATTACAAATAGAAAAAAAAACATATGTAGAGGTCGACTACGAATCTGATAATTTTTAGTGGTTGAAAACCGGTTGAACTTGTAGCCTTCTGTGTGGCAGTGTGTATTATTTTAGAGACGTGTGTGACATGATTTCATAAAGTAGAGGATTGGACCCCATGCTGAGGCAAGATGTAAGAAAATCCGGTATTAAAAGAAGAGACACTGTTCTGAGCTCTGTGCTTACGGATTAGCGTACATCAATGACAAGTGAGGCATGTTCTTAAGGTATCACTTTGACCGACTTGGTGGTTAGAACTAAGTAGGAAGCAGTGAATTATGTGGTTCCTCAATGCAAGTCACAGTCCTAACTGGGCAACAGCCTTGCTATCTCGTACACTGGACGCTACCCGACACACTGAACACCCCTGTATCCAGTCTTCTCACACCCTGGACGGAGGCGTTACGTCAGACTTAATTATATAGAAAATTTTCCTTGAGTGAGTTCACCGAATTGGATGGACAGGAACAAGCGCTGTCTTAATGAGGCGCTTCAACTTCCATGAGTTCTCACGCCGTTTAGCGACTTGTTGCACAAATGCCTGACGTTGACGCAATGTCTGATGTCAACACTTAATAAGTGTAATACGGTTATGGTGTTTTATGGCTTCCTGCCTCTCGTATGTGTTCCCTATGTTAATTGTGACTCGACGCTCAAACATTGTTAACTTCAAAATGGTTTAACTTTTGCATTGGCAATTGGCTTCATGTTGCATAAGCCTTAATTGAACTGAGGCACGGAAGTGATTGACGAGTACTATCTGGACTGTTAACAGTAATGTGTCATGATAAATTGTTCTACTATTATTCCTTATTGGTATTCACAGCGGAACTTGTATAATTTAACAATATAGCTTCAGGCTGTCAATCTCAATTTTCAGGTGCTTTTAGTTAGTACTCTGAACGCCTTCCCTGACTGAGTGACCTGCTAAGACTTTCTCCTACCTCCTCTCGCGACCCAGCTTAAGAGTCCAATCAGCCGACATTGGACAGATTAATTACCATTTTAAATTCACCCGTACACACGGAATGTGTGTTTAGTGCGGAGGTAGAGTACAGAGCCTGGGGCACACATCGAGTAGGATGAGGTAACCAGGTAGACTGCGACCACGAAGACCACTACCACTAGGAGGGAAACGATACTGGGTATTATATATACACCCTGTACGTAATGAGTGCTCTCGGGGTCGTCGTAGTCTTTCTGCTTAGGGCCAGGTAAAATCTTAGCGTAAATTCAGTTTTGTTGAAATTTCGTAACAATGTTCTTAACGGTAAGACACCTGTAGGTATTCAGTTTTAGCAACCATTTTCCTAGTCAGACTTATTGTGTGATCACAAAATTGAAAATGTAGCGATCACGTAGGTGCAACGTATTTACTATTTGTAGCTTGTGAGAGGTTTTAGATTAGTGTTATATTTTCATCATAGTAATTCAGCTGGTGGTGTAAATTTTCTTCTGACTGGCACGGGAGAGTGTCCCAGTAAATTTTAGAAATGTTAGTTTAGTAATAGTGGCACAGTGAAGTTAGTGGCGGGTCTTCGTGGCCGCTAATGAAAGCTTCCAAAGTTAGTAGGTTGTGGCAGACAGTGATGGGTGGCGGGGACTGGAGGTTACTGTTACAGGACGCAACTACATTGTGTATGTCAGTCTAGTTCATATCTTAATGACCTTAATAGTTGAGGATCAAAAAGTTAAAGGAACTAAAACCTTGTGCAAAGATACATTAACCGACGATTTTTTATTTATTTTTTTTTTTTTTACGGTGGACACTTTCATTTTTGTGTTTGTAATTCGTATTCTCAAATGAAACGATCAGTTTTCAGAAGCATAAAATTCATGTTTTTTTTTTTTTAGATAATTTCAGTTCGTGTAAAACAGTAAATGTTTTTGACCAAAAATAAAGCGCTGGTTAGTCTTCGTAACATGTTTGATAGTAGTGGATTTTACATTTACTTAGCATGTTTGTATACAACATCCACCCTAGGAAGGACAACTGGAGTGACTAGCATTAAAGCCATCAGTGAAAGACAAAGGATGGATCTAACAGAAATAGAGCCGACTTTCTTCAGTGATACAAGGGAAAACTTCGGACTCAAGAATAGTACTTGGATATTAGCTGCTAGAAAGAGGTGTACTTGTACGTTTTAGTTAAGCGTTAATATTTATAAAGTTTGAAGTGCTAGAACCCTAATGCGACCACAAGTCACTTGACGTTCTGGCTGTCCAACTTGTTACATACTTATCTACTTTCCTGGCCGGCTGGGAGGTACTACTGTGCATCCTCATTTAAGGTTGGAATTCCTGGCTCTCACGATAAGACTGGCAATTCTAATGGTTAATTTCATTCTTGTCGGACCACCATTCTAGTTGGTATAACAAGTATGTGTACTACTTACCTAGCGCTAAAGTTTTGAGATGCTTGCTTGCTTTTCAGAGGCACTTGATATATCGAATAATTTCAGGTCGGGAGAAAGAGCAGTTTCATCTGAGCAAGTTGGTCATTGTAGTGGTTAGGTCCCCAGCCGCCACCATGTCTCCACAACTGAGCGAGCCACATTAAATACCTGGTGTAGTGGGTCACTGGGGTAGGCTGCCGCACCAGATTTGGACAAGCCAAAGGTCATTGAATGGTGTCTCCATCACTATAGAATACTTTAAATGTTGATCTCAAATTTGTGTTTGGCTAACGGTGACTAGAAACGGGTTGTCGTTCTGTAATTCACACGCATTCAGTGTTATGATTGAGAATAGAACACTAAATTGACTAATGTACGGCAGTGGTGGATGTATACGTACATTGTGCAGTCAAAGGAAGAAGTCGCGTTACACTTACTGTACTTTATGTTCTGAATTCCATGGCGAAGGATTTTGGTAGTTTCCCGTCCAGCCTTGAAACTTACCTGTCACTTTACCCAAATTTTCGTCGTGGATTTCGGAACATAACGCTGGGGGGGAACACGACTTTTTTTTTCTTTGACTGCACCTACGCACGTTTATTTAGGGTGTTAGGGGGTATTCCGCGTTAGTTGTACCGTTGTAGTGAATGTGCGGGTAATATAACAGTTGGCCCCTTAGTCTTGGGGATACTAGATTTAGCGAAGCTGTTGAATGATCACCCAAGAAATAACCTCAGAACAATTTAATGCAAGCAAACCTCACTCACTAGAAAAGTGTTTGAGTAAAGTATTTATTCACCCATCACGTGAATCAGCGGTCGCCTCACCGCAGAACCCAATTATCTGTGGGTGCTTGTACTGGCTAATGAACACGGCGCTGACCATGCAATCCAGCCTAAGGGCAGATGGTGGTGACAGTTTCAGGAAGTGGTTATCCACAAGTTTAAATCGGATTTATTTTCAGCGCTTCGTATACCTGTTCGTCATTTTGATAATTGTTGATGATTATTTGCAGTTTTCTCGAACTAAAATTATGTACTAACAGTTTCCGTTCAGTAACTTGAGAAATGGGTCTGCGGATCGATATGAAATTCGATGTTAAGCTTCAAATAATTAAAAGTTTTTATATATATATATATATATATATATATATATATATATATATATATATATATATATATATATATATATATATATATTTCATGTAGATCCACAATGAAAACGTGGATAAGATTAATCTTGATAAAATCACACGAGGAAAAGGGACCTGACCTCATGTTTTATAAGGTCACCCTGTATATTTAAGCCTCTCTCTGTCCATGTAATCCAGTTGCCTCTGAAGATGTCTTGAATAAAGACGAAAGCTAAGGTGCTCCGTTGTTTCCCTTTTCCCTTGTGATTTTATCAAGATATATATATATATATATATATATATATATATATATATATATATATATATATATATATATATATATATATATATGGAAAAGAAGAAAACACGAAGTGCGCTTTCGTGTAATTCACATCTTCAGGGGTGAGTACAAACTGTACTCACGTCTGTACTCACGAAAGCGCTTGGGAACTTCGTGTTTTCTTCTTTTCCTTGTAGTTTATATATATATATATATATATATATATATATATATATATATATATATATATATATATATATATATATATATATATATATATATATGTGTGTGTGTGTGTGTGGCCAATGTTCATTTTATAATTTCGATGGGGTCATGCATCACCCAGACTACTGTATACTAACGCTTGGTGGAATAACTGGTGCATTTTACAAAGCTTTTCGAAGAAGCATTACTCGGGTGGAGTAAAGCTGTGAGGTGGTTGTTGGCGGTGTAGCATTGTTGTCATAAACCTCCAGGTGTATCAACACCCTGCCTCAACCCTTTCAACTTCAGTTTTGTCTCCTACCTCCAGGCTCATCTCTAACTCTCCTCTCCTCCAGGCTCATCTCTAGCTCCTCTCCTCCAGGCTCATCTCTCACCTCTCCCTCTCCTCCAGGCTCATCTCTCCTCCTCCAGGCTCCTCCAGGCCTCTCTCCTCGCTCATCCTCTCCTCCAGGCTCATCTCTCACTCCTCCTCCAGGCTCATCTCTACCTCCTCCTCTCAGGCTCATCCCCAACTCCCCTCTCCAGGCTCATCTCTAACCTCCCAGGCTCATCTCTCTCCTGTCCTCCAGGCCTGTCCTCCCAGGCTCATCTCCAACTCTCCTCTCCTCCCAGGCTCTCTCCAACTCCTCTCCTCCCAGGCTCATCTCCAACTCCCCTCTCCTCCAGGCTCATCTCTAACTCCTGTCCTCCAGGCTCATCTCCAACCTCTCCTCCAGGCTCATCTCCAACTCCTCTCCTCAGGCTCATCTCTAACTCCTGTCCTCCAGGCTCATCTCTCTCCTCTCCTCCAGGCTCATCCCTCCTCTCCCTCCAGGCTCATCTCCAACTCCTCCTCCAGGCTCATCTCCAACTCCCTCTCCAGGCTCATCTCCAACTCCTCTCCTCCAGGCTCATCTCTGCTCATCTCCTCCTCCTCCAGGCTCATCTCCAACTCCTCTCCTCCAGGCTCATCTCATCTCCAACTCCTCCTCTCCTCCAGGCTCATCTCTAAGGCTCATCTCTGCTCCTCTCCTCCAGGCTCATCTCAACTCCTCTCCTCCAGGCTCATCTCTAACTCCTCTCCTCCAGGCTCATCTCTAACTCCCCTCCAGGCTCATCTCCAACCTCTCCTCCAGGCTCCTCTAACCTCTCCTCCAGGCTCATCTCCAACTCCTCTCCCTCCCCAGGCTCATCTCAAACTCCTCCTCCAGGCTCATCTCCAACCTCTCCTCCAGGCTCATCTCCAACTCCTCTCCTCCAGGCTCATCTCCACTCCTCTCTCCAGGCTCATCTCAACTCCTCTCCTCCAGGCTCATCTCTCCTCTCCTCCAGGCTCATCTCTTCTCCTTCCTGTCCTCCAGGCTCATCTCTCACCTCCTCCAGTCTCTCCAACCTCTCCTCCAGGCTCATCTCCAACTCCTCTCCTCCAGGCTCATCTCCTAACTCCTGTCCTCCAGGCTCATCTCTCACTCTCCTCAGGCTCCATCTCTAACTCCTGTCCTTCAGGCTCATCTCTAACCTCTCCTCCAGGCTCATCTCCAGCTCATCTCCAACTCCTCTCCTCCAGGCTCATCTCCTCCTCTCCTCCAGGCTCATCTCCCTCCTCCAACTCCTCTCCCTCCTCAGGCTCTCTAAACTCTCCTAGCTCCTCCAGGGCTCATCTCCTCTCCTCCAGGCTCATCTCTCCAATCTCAACCCTCCTCCAGGCTCATCTCTCCCTCCAGGCTCATCTCTCCCTCTCCTCCAGGCTCATCTCCAACTCCTCTCTCCAGGCTCATCTCCATCTCTAACCTCTCCTCCAGGCTCATCTCTCCTCTCCTCCAGGCTCATTTCTCACCGTCCCTCACCTCCAGGTTCATCTCTAACTCTCTTCACCTCCAGGCTCACTCCACTCTGTCCTCGTCTCCAAGCTCATTCCACACTGTTCTAACCTCCAGGCTCACTTCACACTGTCCTCACCTCCAGGCTCACCCCCCACTCTCCTCTCCCCCAGGCTCACTCCACACTGTCCTCACCTCCAGGCTCACCCCCCTCTCCTCTCCTCCAGGCTCACTCCACACTGTCCTCACCTCCAGGCTCACTCCACACTGTCCTCACCTCCAGGCTCACCCCTCGCTCTCCTCTCCTCCAGACTCACTCCTCGCTCTCCTCTCCTCCAGGCTCACTCCACACTGTCCTCACCTCCAGGCTCACCCCTCGCTCTCCTCTCCTCCAGGCTCACTCCACACTGAGGCTCACCCCTCACCTCCCATCCACCAGGGTTGCACACAGCTCTAATTCCCAGGTTTGGTCCTTAGAATTCCTGTGCAAAATCCCAGGAACGTTGATCAAGACTCTTCTCGTGAGTTTATGGCCCGACCATAACCCCTCCCAATGGCAAGCATCGTCCTTATAAATGATCAGACATGCTCTCCAACCTTCGCCATTCTCCAGTTTGCCAACAGTTCTGGCTTGTCCTCCCACACTGCCGGTGTCACGGGAAATATTTCATCGGGTGAAGTTTGTGCGCTTGCATTTCGACACAATTTTATAAAAATTTGTCTTGTTTAAACTAACCTAACCTGTAACGGCTGGCGGCATCCGAATTGTGGTCAGTCACATGTTTATAACTCGATAAACCGACGTGATACTTAGTACATTGCGCTGTACAGTGTTTACGATTGTCATTAATACTGTATATTAATTTTGTAATATGCAGTAAACATAAAATGTCACAGTATTTGTGAACTTTAAGTATGATGGATATTTATTTTGCCTTGATGCTAAAATTACAAACGTGGTCAGATGAAAATCAAGCTTGGCGGTCCCACTTTATGGGGTTAAATAATTCAGGTGGACGCGGGCGCACATGCACACAGTAAGTCCAGCGAGAAATTATTTATCAGAGGAAGTATAGCTGGTGCCACCGGTTTTTAAATTTTGCCTACCAGACTTCTCCTGTCGTCCCCCCACCAGTCTCCCGTGTGTGCGTGGTGCACGGCAACGCTCGGTTATACTCCCAACTACAACTTTAATATTCATTTTCTTCTGCCGAGCTCCGCGTCCCTTTCAACAGAAACCTCGTTTGTAAGTCTTGGTAGGATCGTTTATTTATCGGCCACCGCCGTGTTTTGTCCGTTCCCGCACTCCAAAATAGGGTACAGTTTTGTTTGTTGCTTCATATTCATCGTTTTACATCTGAAGGTACACGAAGTTAAAAGTCTAGCGTGAAATATATTTGATCAGTGATTACCAATGTCTGGTGTGCAGGAACCTGAAGATGCTGACGTGGGCGGGAGTGATAACGTGGAGATGTATTGCTCGTCTTGTGTTTTATTGTATATGTACGTTGTTTTTTGTGTGTGCTTATAGTGTCCGGTCATAAAATCATAATCATGCCAACTTTGAACCATTGAACTTAAACATGTACAGAATTATAGATGTGTTGTGGAGGTGTATATGTCTCCCTGGCACACCTGAATATTTGTTAAAGTTCACGAGTTCAAAGTTGTCGTGATACCGATTTTTAGCCCCCCCCCCCCCCCACACACACTCACCAAACAGTATAGTGCCAACCTCTTGCCTCTGATATAACACCTTAAAACACCATTAACAGATCTCGGTGTGAAAAGGTCTTTAATTGAGCGGCTGAGACCTAATGAGTAACCTATATATCCTCGCTCTCAGTGGATACTGTTTTGTATATTTAATGTTATGGAAGGTGATTTATTTTTGTCTGGTAAATTTATTTGTAGCGTAGATTACGAATATCACTACCGTAGGTCTTCTGGTGGTTTACTGTATTTTCTGATGTGTGATTACTATTCTACGTTTCTCATAAGCTGTTGTAGTGTCGTACCATATGTCTCACGTGTTATTTTGGTACAAGTTAGCAACTACGAGTTTGAACTGTTGCAGTGTCCACGATTGAAGGTCCTTAAGGGCCCCCAACTTAACCTAGCCAAACTATTATGCTGAGATCCAATAAGACTGGAGTCCACTTTATATGGTTGAGTTGGGACCTTTTAGGTGTGAGGGGTCACCTGAGTCACCGTATTTTAAGAGTCCAGTATATAAGGGGCCCCCCCCCCCTTATTTTTATTCTTAATAACTAAGTTCTAAAGAAAATATAACTCACGAAAATAATAAATAAATAGATTTCAAATGCTGTGAACTCTCTCTCTCTCTCAAACGTGGTCAATATCAGTTTTCGAAATTAACTTTATTATTAACCCATACAGGTCAGGAGAGCAGTTAGCGTGAGCACAGACAGATAGTAAACAAAGGAGTACTACACGAGTCTAGTTAGTGTAGAGAATAGTGAAGCTGTGCTAGAAGGTTCAGGTGTAATTACCTGTACATGGTGTATCACAACCGCACCATTCTCGGGGAATTTGAGTTCCTTCTCCATGGCCCGTGGATGAAAAACTTCCATTTCCCACATGTCAAAAAATTTCCCATTTCCTGTTTGTCAGTCCACAGCTCAACAGGTGAGGCGTGACTTAGCGGAGAGTCGGATTACTCCACCGTCGAGTGTGGCAGAAATGAAAGAAACTTGATGTTAATTTTATTAAAGCACGATTTAGATCAGTGGGGTTGTGAAGCTTTGTTAGGGTTGGTTTTCTGGGGACATTAGTATGTGGTTGAATGGGCGGGATTGGTAGCATGTTAGCAAATTGATGAAGATAGCGATTACGATTGGCAATATAGAGTAAGTCATATTTGGAAGTGACAATGATAACCATGGAGGAGAGTAGTCATACTTGGAAGAGGAACACAGTATCAAATGATCTCAATAATGGTAAAGGAAAAATAAAACAGGTGTAGCTTAAAAATTTCTTAGAGGTTCAGCTTGACGTACAGTACAGGAAGAAGTAATTTACCGCCAATATCAGAACAGTCTAAGTGACGGCATAAACAAGTGGAAATAAACTTAGATCATCTGAAATATAATTTATATTCCAATTACTATAAAATGTGGAGTCAACATATATCAAAGTGGTGTTTATAGAGCGAATAAAGACCAAACTCGTGTGTAACTCTGGCACGTTGTAATTTTGGTAAATTAAAAGTCTTTTATTCCAGCTGGTATCCTCGGCGTCCGTCTGTTTTCACTTTTCAAAGGTCGTGTTTAGGATATATTTGCAATTTAGCCTGGCTTTAACTCAAGCTAACTCTCGTTAAAGTTTGTTCATGGGATTTCTTCTCCTCTCACCAAATATGTTTGTTTAATATTTTGAAAAAGTTTGTTTCCTCTCAACCAAAATTGCTTATCACAGAATTGCTGATTTGTTCATAATCTGTGATCTGAATAGCCTTTATTATAATTTGCTTTTTATATATAGTTTACCCCTGGTCATCCATTCTGAGAATGTAAGCAATATAAACGGGGAGGAGGTGGACGATTGACATGTTTTAAAGTAAAGAACTTTTATTTAGCTAGTTTATCCAGCTTTATGAATACAATTGGTGACTAGTTGAGAAATATTTAGCTATAGTGCGTGGTGTACAGGCGCCATGGGCTGTTGCCAAGCGTTTCTCTGTAGGCAAGCCCTATTTTAAACTGAAACTATATGTATATTTCAAGATATACATATATATATATATATATATATATATATATATATATATATATATATATATATATATATATATATATATATATATATATATATATATATATATATATATATATATATATATATATATATATATATATATATATATATATATATATATATATATATATATATATATATATATATATATATATATATATATATATATATATATATATATATATATATATATATATGTGTGTGTGTGTGTGTGTTTTGTTATTTTTGTTATTTTAATAACTATGACTTGTTAAAATGAGAGCTTCTTATGACACTGGTATCTTTAAACATATAAATGAATTCATAGACTGTTTAAATATTCAGTTAATATTGCCAAGACTCATTTTTTTTATCATAGCCACTATTGACATCTCATGTACACAACTTCAACAGCAGCATCGTCCCCGATTTTGAATCTCTGAAAAGACTCCTTAACGAACTTTATGTTCATTATAATGTAATGGTCGGTGACCCTTACTCGACTTGTTTTTTATTTTCTTCCTGATGAGCTTGTCTCTGCCACGTGTGTGTGAGCGACAAATGAAAGCATAGTAAATGTTTTTAAAAGTGTGTCGTCACGTCTTTTTCCCTCTGGCACGAAAGGCCCATTTTCATCATGCCACGTATATTCGTGTTTGTTACTCACGTAGATCATTAAACTTGTGTTATTAGTACATAGAGACTAACTATTAAATTGTCTTTAGGGGAATTTATTGTGACAAGAAGGATTTACGAGCACAGTAAAGTAATTAGTGTGATCAATTCAGGTGGACGCTAGTGTCATCAAGTGCCGTAAATTGGCTATCAAAATGTAAAGTGTGTGCACTGTTGGTGCACACTCCACAAACACTAGTACTACTGCTCTTGGAAAGTATCTGCAATGGTTATCATGAAGGACTCAAATGTTATTGACTTGAGTGACACTGAAGTGGGAACGAGCGTGATTGTTAGGACTTCGGAGTCCAACGGCAGTGCCCCGCCGCCCGCAGCAGGTGCGGCGCTGGCTGCTGCTGCAGCGGCAGCGGCGACAGGGTCGGGTGCGGGCGGCGGGATGAACAACAACATGAAGGACAACGATACCGTCATCACCAAGCCTGAGAGACCCACCGTTACGTTTGACCCCAACCCCACCATCCACCTCACCAACTCAGGTAACCTCCCAGCACTGTCGTCGCTCCTAATTTTATTTTGCACGTGTCTCATCATTATCTTACTGCTTTTCCTATGCCATGATTTTTAATGAAACGTTTTTAAATTTATTCAGTTATCTTTAAATTTGAGACTATTTTTGAGATGTTGCATGACTGATGTGCATATAAAAGGTAAATACTTAGATATTGATGATTACAGATGTCTTCATTGGTAGGGCAGTCAATAGTTAGTACCCCTTTGAGTACTTGTACTCGTAGTACAGCGTGTTACTTTCTCCTGATAGACCGCATCTGTGTACCAATTAATACATCATTACTTTTCTGCTGTGAGCGTGTTGACCAAGTGGATACAGCACTCACCTCTTGTCTCATGGGTCGCTAGTTTGATCCCAGGGCACTCCCAGTCCATCCAACTGTAAATAGGTACCTAACTTTACAGTTAGGGAAGCGAAGGCAGTCAAGTACAGTGCCAGCCATGGTGCCTCTTCGCGTACTGAGGGCCTGGTACAGTACATATTGTACTGTATTCACACTGTCTGAGACCAACTTTCACGGTCTTGTTTAAAAGAAATAACATTGTTGGAATAATCATAACATACACCACTGTGTGAGTGCTTCTGTCACATTGTTTTCTCTCGATGTTCATCGGATTTAACTTGAGTTCATTTTTGAGGGAGGTGTTGCTGTTATCCCTCTTGGCCTCCAGGAATTGTTTAGCTCCAGAGAACATTCTGCGGTGACAATGGCAGTTCATTTTGTTCTTTATCTTTAACGTCTTCATTCTAGGGAACGAAAAGTTCAGTACAGGTAAATTCATGGTGGTTATCTAGATTTTTTTATTTTTTTAAGCTAAAGTGTAAAACCACTGACATGGCGGAAATTATACAGAATGTAATTGATGTTTAGTGGGGAAAATTTAGTTCGCAGATAACTAGTAATGATTTACAACATACTGTTTTGTAAATAGTGTATGATGTTGGATTGATATGTTACATAACCAGTATAGCTGTAATGGCAGTTCAAATTAAGATTTAGTTGATGCCAATATACACTTTAATGACTAAACTGTTAAGATAACATCTTCTAATTTCAAGATAATTTAAATTTATTTCATTAGATAAATGTAATGTGATATACCAAGAGTTGGTCTCGGGGACTTGCTCCAATATTGCCCCCCAATCTGTGGACACAATGTTAAGGATCGCACTGGAACTACTGGGAGTTATCTCAGGGTGGATGGATTTCTTGGGGTTTAAGTAATTCATAGCGAGGGGATGCTCAGTGCTGGCAGTGAAGCTTGATGGAACTTTTTTCACTCTTCACAAATTTGATAGAAGGGCACAAAGAGTGTAGCCCCGGGAAACAGCAACACAGTTCTTAAAAAAACAAGAAAGTTGCAAGCCCAATTAAGTCCAGCCATAATATGTGCCGGCATAACTTAATCGAATCGAACCATTAGTATTTGGGCCTATTAAGACTGGGAGTGAGTCTGACCGAGCCTCACTCCTATTGGTTAAGTTGGGACCTGTTATAGATCTGGGGCGCATTTGACCAGTTACTCAGATAGAACACGTACTGGCTCAGGTTCCATGGTTATTGTTAAAGGGTATTTCATTTTGTGGTGCACTCAGTAACCTTGTATTTGACCGTGAGGACATTTCAGACTCCCATCTATAGTGGCGTTACCACCCTAGGCAGCCCTTGTCTTCTGCTCCGTGTCGTTACGTACAGCTCCCGCCGAGTTTTCTTTCCTTTCAGGTGAATTTTCGAAGTTTTTAATTGCACTTATTTCAAAGGTTAATGAACTCTTTGAGTTCGGGTTTTACACAGGCGAGTTTAATTACTTTTTTGTGGATTTGAAACTGATAATTGTGCACATATCAATTTATCTGGTATTTTCGGCATTTGTTGAGCCGAGGATCTTTTTCTGAACTGTTTATGGAAGGGAATTGTGGCGTGGTAAATAAGCATGTTCGTATGTTAGGAGCTAAAAGAGACTTATAGGGATGAATGATGTGGTACCTTTATCTTCGCCATTTTTGGTCTTGTGTAGGAGTGTTATGATAACTCGTCGTCAATTCCTGTCATCAGTCCTGAATACATGTCACCTAACTCCCTGGTAAACTATCCCTGCTCTCGATGACGTTTCATTATCCTTAGTTGTAACAAATTCTCATCACAATTCACCATTCATGACGTTGGTGTTCGTACTCAGACGTCACAGGGTTCCTGGGTAAGGTGTTTCCGTCCCTCTCGATGACATGTCACCATTACCGGCCAAACTGTCGCCGCCGCACCACTCAATACACGCTTCGGGTAGCTGTCGTCTATTTCCTCGAGTATTATACTGAGTGACGTGGTGGTGGCCCCGTGTATTGTGTCTTGCTTCTCCACAGCGGATCACGGCACTCACTGTTCTCTAGCCAGACGGAACCTTTCTGTGACTGACTGTCTTTTTCGTTACTATGTTCCTGTGTAGCGGTAATAAGTACAATTACTGTAACTGGAAACTTACTATGAGGAGCAGGTAATACATATGTGCAATGAAGAATATAGACAAACATGTGGCAGATATACGAGTATACTGTATTTCAATATTTTGAGTGTCCTAGATATATTGGATGATGTACACTGTATATGCATCGTTGATGCCTTATCTTATACTAAGAATACATAAAAATAAGACAAGAGAAAAAAAACCAAGTAGATGTTGATAACATAAATAAATAATTTGTGATAGATGTAGTTATATAACTGTAGTGGTACATGTGAGAGTGAGTAATGTAGTGCGGTGATCAAGGAGTCACATGGGGATTATTAGAGGGAGATTAATGGGACGAGTTGTGCAGAATAGTGAAACAAATAGTTTGGGGTGTTCTGATACATCACCAGGGTAGGAGGAGGATGAGGTCTGTCACAACACTGATTATTGTGGATGATTGTTACTGTGAATAAGGGTGGTAAATAGTGTATAATGTTAATAATGTATAAAGATAGCAGTGTATAATATTAATTTGATATAGATGTTGCAGTGTATTGATCGCTTACCAAGTGGACAGTGACAATAGGGATGTGTTATATACATGGACATACTGCACGGGTTTTGATTAAGGGAGAGCGTGGGATGACTTAGAGCTGGATGATGGGAACTGACGACTGAAAAAGAAAAATCCTGAAAGCTTGGCAGGGAATATCTCTGTAGATGGTGTAAGGGAGGGGGAAACCCGTGTAGGGATACAGTATAGCTCAGGAAAACAATAGGTGTTGGTGGACACTTGTTTTTAAGGCAGTAACATTCTGTTATAGATGTGTTGCATGGAGCAGCAAACCTTACAATGTTGAGGCTTGTTTTCACTCTGTAGAGGGGGAAGATAGTGAAACTCCTGTGTATGTTGATCATCTGTAACGTAGTATTAGGGCATATCAAGGGTTACCTCTAACTCTCATCTGTTAGGTTAGCCGGAATCCCGGATAGATGGTGAGTGACATCCAGTAGCTTGGTGCACTCAGCCGGAGCCGAGCTCCCGCCCTCATTACAAGCGCTTTTATATTCTCATTTGGGAGTTATTGATAAATCCAGACTAGTAGAGGTTATTCATAAATATTATCGTCCCATATGAATTTGTGCCCCCAACTGTTTTAATGGTGTATTAAAATATTTTTCATAGACTGATACATGTAAGTTATTGGTGAAACTGAAATCACTTAAACATCTGAAGCTGCAGTGTTAGTGTGTGGGTGTTCGGTTGTAGAGCATGCAGTTTCCACCTCTTGAAGACGCAGGTTTGGCCAGTTTTCTTTGTCGACTACCATGTTTATAGGTGGTCCCCTGCACCATGGGTTCACTCCTAACTACTTTCTTATCATGCAATTTTACTGGTACGCTGAACAAAGACGACCTCCTCAAAGGATATCAGTTGGCTGTTGTCAATGACTTTGGTACACCTGTAAGAGTACAGGTAGACGGGGAGAAACACTGCTGTCTTTTCTCCTTTCTCATGAGGTTCACTGGCAACATCCTTTGACTTATTTACTATCTGGAAGAGGAGTTTGTTTTATTATCCGTTAATTGATAGCCCCACGATTGTGTAGCGAACAACAACGGGTGGCACGAAACTTGTAAGCGTTATTGTACTGCTGATATAGTACAGGTGTTGTGTGTGTCTTGTGCCGGGATGGGATAACGACATTGTACGTGTTATATTCTTTGTAGAGTACTGTTAATTAAGATTTGTCTTACTTTCAATTGGTGGTACAGTCATATTTGGGATTTTAGTATGTCATGTTTCAATAAAACGCTAATGGGGAAACATGACAAACGAAATTGAGAAGTATGTACTGGATTGCGCTCATCTTTTTGTTCATTAGTCCGTCTGTACATCAGTTTGTCATACTTGTATGGACATAAGTATTGAAATGCTACACCGTTTGTCGTGAACATGAGTCAGATGTGTGCGTCGTTAGTCCATGGCACAAATGAGGCGCGTACTATCAGAGTGGACGAAGAGCCGGGGAAAAAATTGAGACCCCTGGCCTCCTTTTGTGATTCAATTTTGATTTTTACTAGTGGCGCTTTGTCCACTCTGATCGTACGAGCCTCAAATACTGTCGAGTTCAAAGGTCGGTTTGCCTTCACGTGTGGAATAAGTGTCCTTTTAAAATTTTTAGTTGTTATTATGTTTACTGGCTTCATATTATGTTTTTGAAATGATAGATGAAGCTTGGTGGTTGTGAGAGTTATACAGTGTATGTATTATTGTGCTGGTACACCACGACATGGGGACATTTGACTCGTGATCATAGTTTTAGGTTTTGGTTGTTTAACTGGAAGGTCAAATAGTTCTATGTGCCGGTATTCTATTAATCACTGCAAAATTCAGTAACCGTTAAAGCTGTTGGAACTAAGAAGGAAACTTAACTTCTAAGAGTTCATATGAGTTTGGGTCAAGTGGACGAGTAAACACTTGTTATCTGTTATGGGGTCAAGAGAGCGTTATGGT